TTTAACAAATATACCGTACCTAAAAAAATGTTGTGATCAGTATCAGTAGATCGACTTCACCAAAAAAAGTCAATTTTTAAGATTAAAAAATATATATGTATATCGACATTTTATGCAGCTTTTGGCAGCGTGGCTAGAGGAGAGAGAGTCAGTGTTTGTTTTGAACTCTTATTAGAGTTACGGCTGTGACGTAATGCAAACACCTCAATAAATATAACATGTATTTTACATTATGTTTTATGTTGGGGAAAAGTATCTGATGAGACTCGAAATCCACATGCATAAATATAAACTGAGATTTTATTCGAAATGTGGTCGTTACCAATTCTTCCACAGGGTGGCAGCAGACACCATAGAATCGATTTCGTGCAACGCCGTCTCACTTTCCTTCTTGTAAATACTGGACGTGGACGTAAAACTACATAGAATTCCCTGAATGTCCATCCAGGGAAACTTTTTTATTTATTTTTTGAACATTCGGTCTTTCTTCTTGACCATGTCGTACTTTGTGCAGATTTCGTGAATCGTCGTTCGATTCGTGAAGTACACACCATTGCCCCTTGCCCATATACAGTCCTAGTCATTTTTTTAGATTACACAAAAGTCTTAATTCTTTTAAACTAGATTAAGCAGAAATTACACAATAATTCTGATTAAACTAATTCAAAATGATCAGAGAACAGTAGACGACACCCCCTTGTGGGGTAGCAGGGTACTGCACGGGCCATTACACATAGAGCACAGCACTATATGTACTATATATAGCACTATATATAGTGGTTTCATTATCTTAAAAAAAGTATGTTGCAAAAGTGAGGCCTGACAGGAGAAGAGGATGAAGACCCTTTGTAGTCAACGCCACGGTGAAGATGACAGTGTCAGTGGAGCCTCCTGGAGGAAGCAGCAGGAAGAACCTGAAAACACACGTCCACATCATTGGAAACGCATTCGACACAGTTGAAGAAAAACCATCACAGGCGCTATTTTTAAAGAGATATTAAAAGATTTATTACAACAACTTATCAATCCAAAGTTTATACAGAACTTCCACAAGTTACAAGTACGACTTCAACACAGTATCACACCCCTGTATAAGCACTGAAACCAAGATCCATGATATCAAAAAAGGCTATCGCGAAACTCAAGAACCACCAAGTCAAGTTGAAACAACTTGTTTACTTTTCATCTGACTGAGACCTTATTGAACAGACGGTCAAATTCTCGCGGAGAATCGTTATCTCATGCAGATGCACAAAACAGTAAATACATACTGGAGAAAAATAAGGAAACGTAGGCGTTAGCGTCTTGTAAAAACTACACAGTAGTAAGCCAGTACAGACTAAGAGGAAATGCAAATTGACTTCATGGTGTAATTTGCTTTCTAAATAACTATAACAATGAAAAGACCAGATTCTGACAAAGTTTTTCTTCCTGTTCCCTGTGATTCCACTTGAACTGACTGACTAATGTTTTAACAGTCAGTCTTTAACAGTGTTGATGTTCAAGAAAGTATTCCTTTAAGAAGACAAAGTACAGAATACCTTCAATGTTTGTATACCGTGTACTGTACTTCCTGATGGTATTTACAGCGTTTTTCTAAAAACCTCATCTAGACATGAAAACCAGCCGACAAGTCCTAAAGAGTTCTGACAGCGTAGTCACTTCTAAACCAAAGGCAGATCAAAGAGCAGGAAAAAGACTGTCTCTACTGAGGAAATATGAAAATTTGAACTAAACGGCATAAAAAAGTTCAGAAGTTTCTTTGTACAAAAAGATGAATGGCACTGAATCCAGTCAAAGTCACGATGATTGACGAACATCCTACAATCACTGCTTCAGGACGACCAGACCGCTGATGGAGCGTCCATGAAGTTTACAAACAGAGGTGAGTTCACACATTCAGAATATACAAGAAATCTACGGCTGATTTCACCTTGAAAAAAAAAAATCTGAATCACTGATGTAACGTTACAGCATTAAATTTGTGAACAGGACAGAAGTGTCACTCAAACCTGTCGTTCTCTTAAAAAGTGCATAAAGAAAAATATTTCTTTAAAAAAGATTCAAGATTTAAAAAAAATTAAATTATCTTTAGGACCCAATAAATAAATTGTGCATAAAAGTAAATTAATGGAAGAAGAAAATGTAATGGTCACTGAGCCACTTCAGCACACTTTGGTAAAGTCTCCAGCATTTCACCAACCAAACTTTATGGCTGAGCAAAAATAATAACAAACTTTCATAAATAAGTCACGACACGAGTACAAAAAACATTTAAGACCAACGTGTTTTACATCTTACACCTAAAGTGCATCCTCTTTTTATCTTCATCAATTACCCATGAAACATTTCTTATCTTCATCGTCACCTACAAAGAATACAGTGAATCATGAACCAAACATTAATAATAAATTAGGAATAAATTAAAAATACTGCCGGAGAATCTCTTCCCTCAGTCCAGGAGGCCGAGCTCCAGTGTCCACAAGAGGACGCTGCGTGTGTTTGGACAATCAACTTCCTGTAGGCTGAGTGTTGGTGGCGCCCCTCCGTGGCTGACTCTCCTCTGTGCTCTGGTTGGACGTGACGGCGGCCGTTGTGGAGGCGCTGGGCGCCGCTGAGACGCCCGGGGCCGTGAAGGCGGAGGTGACGCCGTTGGAGGTGCTGATGGAGCTGTGCTGGATGGCCTCGTTCTGGGGGCTGCTGGGGACGGACATGTCCTCCACGCTTATGTCTTTGTCTGAAACTTTGGAAGTCACAAAAGAGTGATTAGGGTATTTTAGGGCAGTTGTAGATTAATCATGATTAATTGTGATTTTAATAAATCATACTACTGTAAGTCGCACTTTTTTTCATCCTTTGGCTCGGTTTGAGACATACTCTGGTGCGACTTGTATATTAAAATATATAATTTTACATGTTTGTTGTCTTTACGCTGAGAGCCGCTAGAGGGCACTCTAGATGACTGGTGTGACTTATACTCTGGAGCAACTTATAGTCCGGAAAATACAGTCTATAAATCCGGAAGGTGGTTTGGAATGGGTCAATGTTTGATGGTGACCGTTGGACTGGTGCTGTGAAGTGAGCAGATCCCTGAAAGGCCCGAGTCAAACACAGAAACAACTGAGAGAGTGATTAAATGTATGAACGACACTAACAAAAGTCACTTCTCGTCCTTCGTCCCTGACTCAGTCACTGAGCACCGACATCAACCCGTGACAGTCACTGCTTCACTGAGTAACCACAGTAGATAACAGCCACGATCAGCGTTCCTGACTTTAATGTAAAGGACACCTGTCGGTATGTTGAGGTTCCACGCCGCTGCTTTAACATCATTTACCTGAGGTACTCCATAGAAGCTTAGGAAAGCTCCATCATTTACACCTAATCAGATGGAAAAGAGCTATCTGGGTGCGCTGTAAGCAAAGAGTTCCATTAATCCCCATAATGCTACTGCTGCTCTGGTGCCTTTAATTAAAGCACCAGTGTCAATTTAAACCCACATCATAAGGGTGCATTACATTCTGGGGCATGTGGCAGTGTCTCCCATCCCTAACTGCATTCTCATTTGTTTTTTGTTACCTTGCCAACTACTGCGGCGACAGATGATTACAGCACCTGATTTTAATGATGCTCACACTGGAGAGTAGCAAAGACTTGGAGTTGAAATGCCACCAGCTGTTCGGCAGTTGCATTGAATTAATTGGATCCGGATGAAAAAAAAAAGGAGAGAGAGACTCCACTCTCATGCTCTGGTTAGTAAAGGAATAAGGATCACAATCATAATTAATACTGCTAATGATAAGAAGTCACTTGTTATGACACTTTGGAATTAATGAGCGAGACTCGTTTTTGGGTTTGTGAAAATACAGATGATCTAAAACAATGGCGGCCTGATACCGACGTCCTGGGGTTTGAATCTTCCTCCACTCTCCTGGCTGCACGGCGACACTGTGATTCAGCACCAACTGAAGTCAACGCTCTGTAAACCCTCTCGCTCTTCGCCCGTGCAGAAGGTCAACGACAGATTTGAACAGCTTTGTGGTTTTGTTCCATGTTCAAGTGAGTATCATCGCTCCTAACGACATTAAGGTCTGGCTAATGTTCTGAGGTTCTGGTTCCCGCAGCAGACGGAGATCCTTTCTGCTCTCCTGGTTTCTGAAGCGGGGTTCGCTGTTAGCAGATGGACCGCTTAGCGTGCCAACTGATAGCATGTCCTGGCTTGTTTGTGGGGCAGTCTGGGTAATTTCCTCCCACCTGCCACAGTTTCGCCTGGTCAGGACGATGAAGGGTATTACCAGGTCTGGAGGCCAGTGTGGCCTTATGGGAAGTGTAATCCTGTCAAGTAGGAATGATTCATGGAGGCGTTTCAAGAGTGGGAGCCACGGAACAGTCAGAGTTAAATCATGTGTTGTGCTAATTGGAGAGCTAATTTATTTCACTCTTAACCAGGGGAGTATTGATATTTACTAATATACAAGCACAGCTTGTATATTAGTAAATACAGACAAATCCTTCATTCAGCTTCATATGACTAACATGATTTTACCAAACGTTAGTTCAAAACGTTAGTCAGTTTGTTGCATCGAAAAACCAAACTACACATTCCTTATAAATGTTTCTATCCTCAGGTCTCCAAGTTTTAAATAAAATAAAATAAAGACCAGTATTTAATTCACACTCCTGTGTTTTCCTGTGGCCTTTGGGTTTCTGCCTCTCCATTCCATACAGGACATAAACAACCTGTTATCCAGAGGATTGAACTTCTTCTTAATACTTCATATTTTACTTCAATAATACTTTTAAAAGATCTTAATATTTTATCTCATGCTTTTTGTGACTGAAATTCAAATGTTTGGTTCAAAACTTTAATGATGTAAAATGGGTATTTCATTATGGCTGCATGAATAATTTGTTTTCTTAAAAATGTCAAAATAAAAGCTTGACCAGGTGAATGGTCATCTTGTAGGAGCTTCTGAAGTCCTGATAACTCTATTCAGACTTTTAGGTAAATAATATCTGCACTGGTATTCACAAAATATTTGTAATTCCATTTCTTATTTAGAAGAATACCTGCCCAGCCCTCGCTCCAGCCTGTGTGTCAGTCTCTCACTGTGCTGAATACACATTAGCCTAATAATGATGTTGTAATATCTTTGTATGAAGTTACTTCTTCTTCACAACTTTTAGAATATATGAGACCATTATTTATATTCTGTGTAGATCTGATATGGCTGCAGGAAGTTTGAATAAAAACCCCCCAATAATTACGACTTTCATATTAGTTTCCTTTCGTGTTGATTTTTTTTTTATGTCCAATCTCCAACCTCAGCTGTCACCAGGAGCCAGACTGATGAACCAGGATATTCGTACAGGGTGATATTTTTTTCCAAACGGCGTAAAAAGTGCACCAAATACCATCCTTCACAAAGGTCTAAAAATGCGACGAGACAGACGTCTTGGGCGAACACGCCAAGAACGATGACCCAATTCATCTGCAAGTCCTGCTAAAAACAATCCAGACGACACCAAATGAGACCCAGCTCTGACAGACCACTCCAGTCTGGAAACCATCAGTCCCATAATGCACATGACGTGTGTCAGTGGAATGGTTTAGCAATAAGGGATGCATAATGAACAGCCCGGCTGGGTGGACGCACCAGGAGGCATTTCAGAGGCAATCATTGTCAATACCAGTCAGCGGAGGTGTTGGGAGCAGAGTGGAGACGTGGCTCGGAACACACACACACACACACACACACACAGTGTCTCACTGCCTACTGACATCATCTGTGAGGTGAGTTATGAGCAGGATGACAGAAGCCCAGACTCCAGAAACAAAGAAGTGTAGTTGATATGACTGTAAATGAGGCTGAGTAACAAACAGGAGGTTTAACTCAAACAGTCTGTAACGACTGGACTGGTCAGTTATATCAGAGTATTCATGGCCATGATCACATTTTATGTTGTCTTTACGTCTCCATATGGAGTTGGAGTTTTTTATTTGTTTAATTTTACTCTAAAATGACAAATGTTTGATCTGGAGCCGTCAGAGCAACAATTACGTCTGTGTGGTTTCCACCTGTGGCCTCCCCGAACACAGACATCGCCGGCAGCGGAAATTTGTCTGAAACAACGCCACCTATAAATATCTGAACTTTTGCAAAGTTTTTTTTTCTCCCCCCAAAACAAGGATTTAATATGACAATAGCTCTTTCCACTGGGCCATAAGTAAGACGTGTCCTTCTAGTGGTTAGCTGGAGCTCATTTTGGAAGCATTTCACTGGAAGCCTCGGGCTGAGAATAATGGAGCATTACTCACTGTGATAGCCAGATTTCTTCTGCATGGCGGTTACAGGGCAATCTTTATGAGCCAGAAGAAGCTGCTTCAGCTGAGCCACTTCGTTTCTCAGCAGGGTGACTTCATTCTTTGAAGGGAAGCAGACACACAACAGTAGTCAATAAAGTGGTCACTACGGTACGTCTGAAGACTGAAGAGAACGAACATCTTCTCACACCAAACAATACCTTGGACTTCTGATAGAAAATATAATTCACACCAGTAAATCAAAACTCAACCTTCGCCAAACTGTACCTATGTGTACGGCCTGTATCTACTGTACAACGATGGTTTACATGAAGTTAAATTGTGTTTTTTATCACAAAAAACAAACACGATGTACACTTCTACTATCACATCGATGTTACTGTCACGCTGACTTAGTCAACTGGCCCTGATTGTTTCAACAGTTAATTTACATAAAGCTTTGTTCCAGACCAATTCTAGATATTTGCTGTACAGCAACCCTGAGTTATTATATCATTAAAAAAAGAAGAAATCTTGTTGTAAAGAATTAATTCCTTTATTTTTGCAGAATTCTATGGAACGGATTCAACTCGAATCTGGAAGGTCCACTGTATATACACATATACACAGTATATGTGTATGTGTATATATATATACATATGTATATATACACATATATGTATATATACATATATACATGCAAATATATATGTATATGTGTGTGTATATATATATATACATATATATTCCATGTGCGTTAAATGCTTAGTACAGGAATTACTGCTGTAGTTTTGTGTCCTCCATAGACTCATGACTGTAAGCTTGTTCTAATGGTCATTATTAATGGCAGCTCTTCATGGTTACACACACAACTGTATGAACTCATATTACGCCTCATGTAACAAAGACATTCTTAAAAGACCAACATGATCCTGCAGTGAATGAATCCAACGATTAAAGAATGATCTACTTGTTCATTTAAGTTTTTCCTACATAATAATTACAGGCCTTCACTGACTGCAGAGCAGCACGTTTGTCAGAGCCGAGCCGCTCGGACTGTCAGTGCACCTTGGTAGACGCTGTGCAGATTTACACTCTGCTGTGGTTACAGCTCCCAGAGGAACTGAGGATTTCTGCATGTCGTAAAAGGCTGCCACATTACACTGAAGGTGACTTTAACTGGATTTAGAGCAGCCGGGGGCCCACGCAGCACCCAGTGGCAGATTTAAGCTCCTTCCGTCCTCCTTTAAAAGGACTACGGGCAGCTTAACCTATTAGTCTAAAAGCAGCCAATTTATTTGATTCCATCTGTCTAATGGTGCTGCTGTTGGCAGGGCTGAGTTATTGTAAAGCAGATTTGAAAACAGCTGGAAGGAGCGTACGGACGATCCAACTGAGCCAGCGCCATGTTCACTGTGCTGCCGCCGCCGCCGCCGCCGCCGCCACCGCCTCAACTGTAGCACAGCCAGCCAAACAGCCAACATCAACACAGGGCAGCGCTGCTTCTTACCCCACCTCTGGATGACATTAAGGAAGGATAAAGCATAAACCGGCACTCTCTCTCTCACACACACACACACACAAAGACACACACACAGTAGTATGTAAGGTATACCAGGACTCTAAATGTGTTGTTTATTTTTCATCTTTTGTTGGTTTGTTTTATAAAAATATTTTTTTGCGGATTTAAATTTTATTTTGTATTTAATGTGGTGTTTTTTAAACCTTTTAGATCTGTACAAGTCAGACTGTCTGCTGATGTCACTTCCGTTTTCTGTACTCAACTACTATCCTCAACCCCTGGTCCGGGGACCTATGCCAGTTCATAGGTTATTTGGTACCGGGCCACAGTCATATCTCTTTAATTTTTCATTAAAAGATAATCTGAAAGTGTTTCAAAACAACAGGTCAAAGATCACTCAGACTCTGATACTAAGAGAATAAAGTCTAAAAGACGTTTCATTTCGAAAATGTATTGACTCTTCAACAATGGTTGGATACCGGCCGACCGGTCCTTGGTATAAAAAAGGTTGGAGGTACATTATGTTCATTAACACAGCTGAGAAGAAGTGAAATTTAGAAAGAATACTTTAAACTTTAAATAAGGATTTTACAATATTATTTACATCTGAGGTAAAGAAAAATATTCATTGACCCTTAGAAACTAAACTGCATCACAACAAAAATGTTGATCACTTCTAAGCCGGACCAAGACGACTTTAACTTAAAGAGTTTTAAAGAGTGTTACTTTCTTAACTCCTCACCTAATTAATCAAAATTGAGCAAATGGGCCTGGGGTGGTGCTGCGAGCTCTGTGAGCTGCCTGGTCTGACACCTCATTAAAAAGCCAGTTAAGGATGATGTTAAAATAATTGTGCATCATTAGAGGTACTTTCACTGATCAGCTGGGCCATGTCAGCATGGGGGTTTTTACAAAAACTGCACTACTGATTAATGCCCTCGTATAAAAGCACCTTTTTATTCTCTACCACATGTTGTTCCCCATTTTGTAGTTAACAGCACTGATGTTACTTTTTATAACCTGCTCCACTCACTCGTCCTCTCCCTTTCATCTATTTACATCTGTACTGTACACACATGACAAGTGGTGATAACTTGTTCTGTGAACCAGACGCCGACATACACCATCGCTTTCCGACGACCGCCCGCTCCCTCCTCCACCTTCCGCAACTTACTCTGCTTTTAGGGAAAAATGAGACAGTAAGCAAATAAACGCCGCGTCTCATTTAATTGTCTGGAACACTGATGTGCTGCACCCGCGCCTCACACTTATCAACAGAGACAGCAGATACATGAACTGTTTCGAACTTGTCAGCATCAGATCCTAATTGCTTCCAGCGAAATGAAGGTTCAAAAAGACACCTTTCCCTGTGAGATTTTTTGAGGCCATTCGGTAAACTGCTGAGACAGAAGCGGAGACACGCTTGTGTGCAGCTGACATCTGGAGATACATCTTTATTGACAGGGACATATCGATGTAAAGGGCTCACACGCTGCTGCTGTCACACAACAGCTCTTCTTAATCGGCTTTAATGACTTCATCACCACAGAAGGGAAAAGTCTGTGTACACATGCTTATGCCAGTGGCAGACGATGATAAACAGACGCATGCATTTATGCATACATAAAAGTGACAAATTGTTAGCAGCTGTTTTCATACAGCGTGTAGTTACCCAGGGTCAGAGTGTGGAGCGTACCTGTAGTTGTCCATTCACGGAGTTCAGGTCCTCGGCCTTCTTCTCCAAGGACTGGACCCACACCTTCCTTTTCTGCCTACAGCGAGAGGCCGCCGCTCTGTTACGCTCCAGGAACTTGCGCCGCTTCTCATCGGGGTCTTCGGATGTTGTTCTGCGCCGCCGACCGCCGGTGCTTGGAGGGTTTTGAGCAGGGGGGGCTGGGGAAGCCTGTTAAATAGAAAATTTAATGAAAAAAAAAAAGTGCAGACCTCTGTGAAAACTGATTCCAGCTTAACAAAAGACGTGACACTTCAGCTGGTCTGAGAGCAGATCAATATCCAATATGTAGACACGTGACCTTAATGCACAGTATTTAAAATGACACATATACATCAGCATCAGTCTGTATGAGCCGTGCTGTCAATGTTTACACCTCGACTGTATCAGTCACAGTCAGAAATGACAGCAACACTGTATGATTACTGTGAGCAGGAGAACAGGCCTTTCACTTCTAACTTTTTACTGCACATTGATACCAACTGTAATATACAATAATAACGTAGTAATGTTCCAGATCTGAACCAACGTGTTCTACAGTGCGTACGTACAGGGGTCTCTGTGGTGGAGGTGGCTGGCTGCTGAAGAGGATGAGGTGACGGTGTCTCTGTTGGAGGAAGGTGAGGAGCTGGAGCAGCGGTCAGGACTGCAGTTGTGGTTGGGACTGGAACTGGAGACGGAGACGGAGAAGGAGCTGGAACAGGAACAGGAACAAGAACAGGAGCAGGAGCAGGAGCAGGAGCAGGAACAGGAGCAGGAGCTGAAGTCGGGGCAGGAGATGGAGGAGCAGGAGTGTGAGTGACCGCACTGCTCTGAATTTCACTGCCATCTCCATTGGCTACCTGAGGAAGCTGCTGGCTTAATGTGGCTTTTAGTTTCTGAGGAGAGGAATGATGACAGAAAAAAAAATTAATACTGTTGAAACAACATTGATGAAAATACACAAGAATAATTACATTTGTAGCAATTCATATTTAATCTTATTTGATCAACTAATCAACACTAAAATAATGAAGTAACTAGAAAACTTTAGATGATGAAAGTCGAGTCTTCAGCAGTGAGGGAACATACTGGAACTTCTTGCTTCAATGAAGTGTTCACCGTTCAGCCGTATGAAGAGTATAAAAGCTGACGTAAAACAGATTATATGAAATCTTTCCTTTGCAACTATTTTTGGTTTTCATTCCGAGTGGAAATTCCAATAAATCTGAGATGACCTTGAAAGCGTGAAACTGAATCCTGGAGGTGAGACAGAATTTTGGTACTTAATGAGAGAAATACTGTCCAAAATATGTTTTTTTTGTGTGTGTGTTATGAACAGCGACTGAATACTACACACAACCACAGTTTGGTCTTCCTGTTCTACAGGCCAATTCCTCCAGCATCAAACAGTGAGCAAACAAGGTGAAAGTGAATGAGCCTTTCAAGGCAGTAACAAAGTGAGAGGGGATATATTTACATGAGAAAACAGAAGAGCACATTATTCTAACAACTACCTTTGCCAGAGCAATCTATCTACCAAATTAGTTTATCGTGTAATACCCTTCCAGAAGCTCCTCTGGCAGAAACAAGATATTATTCTCTTGGAATGGCCCATCGAAAGAGAGGAAAGCCAGTCAGATTCATATTTCATCTCTGCCATGGAAACCTCATCAGTGTAATAACCCTCCATCTCATGGGTGTTATTCAACCATCTGCTACTATATTACTTATCTTTATTTTGCAACTAATTAACAGCATAATCTTCTAAATTCAGCAAGTTAATTATCATTATTGTGGTCTTTGCAGCATCATCAGTCCTTGTAAAGCGCCGTCTCCACGCCCCCTGAGAGGCAGGTGGGGGCGGGTGGGAGCGGTCAGGTTTGAGCGGGGGTCTGTTTTCTTTGACGTGGGCTCATTAGGTGTTTGCTGATGAGCTCGGTGCGGTGGGAGGCACCGGGAGGATGAGGAGGGGGAGTCAGAGGGAGGTACAGGTCAGGCAGGATTCTGCTGAACAAAAGCTTCCATGCAGGGTGAGGCCGACTTAATGTGCCTCGGTGAGAGCGTGCCAGGATGCCCCCAGCTGGCGTTTACTGGTACTCCCCCCTCCCCCCCAGTTGGCCAGGACGACGGCGTGCTGCGCATAACGTTGTCTCCATGTTTGTCTTCTCCCTACGCTGTGATCCTCAACAACACCACCCACCCTCCACCCACTCCCTTAACTACTTGCCAGTCAGGATCGATCCTTTCTCATGAACACACACGCAGCTCGTCACAGTGGTGTATCTGTTAATGTCCACAGGCAGAGCATGCTGGGAACATTACCAGGTTTGGTGAACCGTGTTTTATCATGTAGCCAAAGATCTCGCTCAAAACACAACAAGAGCCAAACAACACTGCTGCGGGCTTTTAGCTGTTGGATTATTTTAAAATCTGTTTTTGGTGACAAATATAAAGAATCAAAGTCTGGTTTAATCATTAAGAAAGAATGAGATGCTTCTGTCTCACAGTTCAAAGATTTCAGATCATTATTATGCACCTGACGGTATAGTTTACACTTACTGCAATAACAGGTACATGAATAATTGACATACACCATATATATATATATATATATATACACAGTACATATACACACACACACTGTCAAATCTCCAGGAAGTAGGAGGCATGTGTTATGAACAAAGAGATAATAAATACCAGCTTTACTTCTGATTGGACGGACTGTGGCTGAGGCAGTGGCTGTGGTTGAGATTGTGCCTGTGGTGAAGGAGGTCCTGGAATCCCTGGGACGTTAGGCACGACGGTGACAGGTCTGACAAGCTGACAGCATGGACACAGATCAGCACAGCAAAATTAGTCTACAACTATTAGAAAATAAGAAATGAAAGGCAGACGGCCAAACGCATGCACACGGTCGTGGCGAGCTCTCATGGTTTCTGCTCATATCTCAGCCTCATTAGGTCGGATGGCCTGTTATTTGGTGGAGGCGTCATCACTAGGAGATGCAGCGTGCACACTAATGAACCACTGCCTGTCTGTATGAGAGCATATGGACGGGGAAAGTGAAGAGAGGATGGAGAGACGTGAGTCAGAAGGGCCAGAGGAGCCAGACTCCTTTACTGCCATCAACAATGAGGCAGAGCTACAGTAGGAAGAGGAGAGAGGTGAAGAGGGAGAGAAGAAAAAAGAAGTCAACTCAGGTTCTCCATTTATCTTTGCCCTCTTTGGCTTGTCACTTGTTCACTCCAATCCCCACAGGAAGTAGGATATTTTTTTCTCCTGCTGTGCCACTATCAGGATGTAATCACCAACAAACTCAACAATCCTTGTTAACTTAAATGTTAACTTCACTTACAAAATCCTCCCCAATTTAGACCCCGACGTTAGTTACAGTTACATTTTGTTTTGCACAACACATTAGCAGCATAATTTATCGGCTCTGCCAGAAATCAAGAAGACTAATTCAAAGAGTACAAGGACAAATAATGAAGTATTTTGGAGTGGAACCTGCAGTGTCACTGCCAATTCCTTCATCTTTGTCACAGTGTGACACACAGCCGTACTCCAAAGTCCATTATTTCACTCAACCTCTACAACTCTTGAGGTGACTGCCAAAATCTGACAGTTCAAAGCTGTAAATTGTCCTTTTGTCCAGTGGAGGGTGCTTCATGCAAGTCACTAAGGAACTTGATTTAAATTTAAATTATGCTCACAAAAGCAAACGTTTTAGGTGATTTCAATAGTGCGTTTCTCTTATTACAGTACACACCTACGCTGAACACAGGCACAGAGTTTCTATTACAATAAATAGCTCTCAGTACTCTCCGGTCTGACTCATACCTATAGAAAAAATGTATTTCTAAAAAAAAAAAAAAAGCGTTTCCTCAGTTTAACAAAACTCAAAAACAATAGAACAGTTTGCAGTCTTTGGGGATACGGACAAATGCTAAAGGGTAATTTCATTGTTTCATATTACAATGCAGTGTGTTTCTAACACAGGGTGAAAGACAGTAAACACATCGTAACCAGCATCACACTCACAGGAATTGTAGTTGGAATATGTACACTTGAGCTTGTAATAGATGCTGGAATAGCAACTGGCATGGTTTGACCGTTAGGCAGCTGTAGGAGCACAGGGAAGGTGCCAGACACTGGGCTGAAGGAGAGAAGAGAACATCCTTGTCAGGAACAAACAAATAATACTGGGATTTTTTTTAAATGATAAAGTAATGTCACAAATATCAGTACATCCAGTGGAGTCAAGACTATGTACTTGATGAAAATGGGGAAAATAATTGAATTGGAACAAATCAAACAAGAATTAAAGTAAATAAACCTTATATGGAGAAACACCAAAAAAAAAAAAAAAAATACAAAATGACCAAAATAAACATATTTAGCAGCCAGTAACATCAATTCTGCTCAGATATGGTTTTCAAGTAGCTCTCTTATTAAGGCACATAGAAAAAGAGATATTGTTGGTAATTTACTTAAATCTCACTTTTCCAGGCTAAAACACTCACAAGAGTTTCTGCACATCTAAAAGTAAAGCAGTTTAGAATTGGATTTAATCTCATGGTTATGAGAGCTCCTTCCTTCTGTCCATATTTGAGCAACAGTGACGTTTGTGAAGACGGCAGTTCTGTATATGAGGTGTGAAGCAGAAAATAAACCATCCTGCCGAGTGCGAAGAAACCAAAAACAAACAAGCACATGCCTCACAAAATAAAAGCTCAACACAAATGTGCTAAATAAAATAATTTGAAAAATAAAAATAAAAAAAAGACTTAATTATGGTTGACTTTTGTTTTAAAAAATTGATATTTTGAGTTACTTACACTATAGGCCTATTACTGGACGGTACTTGGGTAATAACAGAGCTAGATGTTGGCGATGGGAGAGCTGGCTGTATTACAACATTAGCCTCTGAGGTTGCTAGAAGTACATTGGGAACTTGGAGGGACGCAGGATGGACTATAGTAGATGTTGGCATTGAGGCTGGCTGCAAAGATAAGTCCTGGAAACATCATACAACACCTTAGCTGCAGAAGTGTTTGATGACAACCATATGTCCTACAATAAGACGTTGACAGGTTACGCTCCACTAATAATAGAATAGAAAATGATTAGAAAGAAAATCTATTAACCAGTTATGTGATTGATCATCTTTTGTGCAGCGTTGCTCTAACTTTTCAAGCCGAAAGAAACAAAAACTTTTGTGATTTGTCAGCAAATGTTTCTGCTTTTTTTTAAAAAAAAAAAAGCCCATACCTTATCGTCACTTGTTGTCGATTCAGGATGAGGGAGTGGACTAACACGGTGTGCCTCTGAATCAGCGGCTCCCTCTGGTTTGCTGCGTATAATAGGTGTCGCCAGTGGTGACAAATCCAGCGGTAACTACGGAAAAGAAGAGAAGGACATCAGCAAAGGACAGAAGAGTAATAAAACAAACACAAGTCGGGACATTCTCGGCCAAGTTTAATGAGAACAACCTTTTTAATGTCATCTTCAGCTGCTCTTTTAAAGTCATGGTCAAAGGGACTTGTAAGTTCGTTGAAAAGCCCGACCTCCTCACAGTTCTTCAGGAAGCGTGTAGGCGTTGGCGTCTGGTCTGCAGCAGAGGGCAAACTTGAGTGCACTCGTCAGAAGAGCATGGACATATCAAGGTCTATTCACTTTAGGATTGATTACCAGCGATGATGACAGTGTCGTTCCTCGCTGGGCCAAACTTTAGTGTCATCTCATGTTTGTGCTTGTGGACGGCCAAGTGGTCTTCATTTGTGAACCTCTGTGCAGGTCAACAGATAAAACAGGGTATGAAACGTAATCTAAACATGACCTCTGGGGCAATTTACTACTTGCAAGTGAAAGAAGGAAGGTAACAACTGTTATTATTTATTTACAAATGTAGGTTAAAGTGCGTAGGAGTTCAAACAAGTTCAACACAGAGGTTCCAAGAGAGCCTGAGAAAAATGACCCCACTGAAGGTGAGAGAGTATGATGTCAGGAAAAGTATTTATAAAATTAAAAACAGTAAAAGAACAAGAGTATTTACACCAGCAGTGTATTTTTACTAAAGAGAAATGTAACAGAGAAATACCACAATAGAGCAAATCATTTGAGATTCCAAAATAAAACAGACTTGGCTTGTTTTCAGCTGTTGCACTGCAACTGTTAAAATTAGACAATGTTGGTAAATTAGTCAAAGGTTTTTGTTAAAAAAAGATATCATCATGAAACAATTCAATAAATGCATTTCTCATATGAAATATTTTCTTGTCCCTGACTTTATTTTACCTAAAAAAAATCTTCAAAGTAATATCTGTCACTTAAATGTGTTTAAACAACTTTAATTGTTCTGTTATATTTAAACCTTTTTGTATTAATAAATATATAAAACTAAATACATGTTGTGGCTTTGAATGATGTAGAGTATATATTAACAATTTTTCTTTTATAAACAACATTTATTAAAGCTAACCTTTATGCTACAGAAGAATGCAACAGTGTGTCCGTGTGGTACTCACCTGTCCACAGCCAGGAGCAGTACACTGGAACGGTTTATCATCACTCATATTAAGTTATTCCAGTGATGTCACCCTAAAAACAACAACAGTGAAATACGTAGACTGCGGTTAGACCTCAAATATAACAGCTGTGTATTGAAGTCATTTACAAAGAAAAAGGTAAAGTAGGCACTGAAGGTGGGGGCATTTATTAATCTGAGCATTCTGAGCACTGTGCGGCGCTGTAATGATGTGTAACTAACGTAGGGTGAAGGTGAAAGTCCTGTAGTATTTGGACAAAGCATGTCGATGAAGGGCGGCTGCTTGGGTTTACACCTCACTGTCATTCTAAAAGACGGTCTGTTTATTCAAGCAAATTTAAGAGGCTAGACAGACAAAAAATGTGCTTTTTTAAAATTTAATGTGATCTCGATATGACATAATATCGTCAGGAATTACCACTACAGCGCTTTAAATAAAGGGGACTGAGCATCCATGATATAGCCTGAGCCCTGCGTTAACATACAACAATCGCCATGTTTGGAGCTATGTTTCCAATGAAGAGAGGAGACATCGATCAATGTCGAGATATTGTTTTTGTACCTGAACAGAAAAAAAATCAACGCCGAAAGATGAATTCGGTCTTTTGTAGCTGCTTTAAGAGCAGTCGCTGTCAGTTTCTGTTGTCACTTACCCTCAGCCACAACCCTCGACTTCCAAAATCCCACGTCTGCAGCAAATATCGCGAGAAAACATCAGGCTTCCGTAAACGTCACACGGTTTGACTGTTTTTTGTTTTTTTTCCCACTCAATATCATTTTTTAAAGGTTGACTGTTTTTTTTTTTTCATTTTCCCACTCAATATCATTTTTTAAAGACTGTTGTTTTTGAATGCTTTTAAAACTAATGTTTAACTTGAACTTTTGATAAAAGGATGAGTCCTTTAGGATTTTGTTACGTTTATTTTTCTTCCTTCCCCTAACCAGTTCAAATAATATGAACTTTAAGTTTAAGTTTTAAGTTTTTAAGTTTAACTCAAGTATCTCTGTTGTGATTTAACTTTAATTCAAAGTTCTAGCCATGAGTACTAAGTCTGAACTTAGAGTTGTTATGTACACACACCTCCAAATATAAATATTTTTCATTTTGGTTTAATTTTACACTGTACCCTGAGGGGCCATCATACTTCAGCACAAGTCTGAACTTAGAGCTGTAATGTACATACATTTAATTTTACACTCTACCCTGAGGGGCCATCATACTTCAGCATGGTCTAGTTTTTATGAATTAAGTTGTGAAAAATAAACCAATGTTTATGGCAAATGTACAAATAATTTTGTACTTAAAAAAATAGGCTTTTCAAACTGTACTTTTAAAATGATCAGTTTTCAATAGTCAGATGTTAAGAGCATCTGCCTATGTTCAGTCATGACATCCAAAAAAAATCCAAACCATTATGTAACTGAATTAAATTGTCTAGATTTATTCAAGCAATTTACAAAAGCAAGCACTCACTTGCTGTCTAATTACACACTATTTACTGCAGCTGAACCAAAATCTTTTAAAAGTGGACCCCAAGGCTTGCACATGATGATCTGTTAAAAATGATACTGATGCAATGTAAAGCTGCTTCACTGGGAAAAAAACATTACTTCAACCACAAGGCCTCTGCTTGTGCAAGTACGTAATTCCAGACATAGAAGTTACAATCGTTAAATAGTCAAATACATGTATTTTAATTATGCAATTTCTTACATTTGTACAATACATGCTTTGTTTCTTTTGACAGCATCTGAGAGACGTGAAAATGTACATTTCCATGAGACGAACACGGAACAATTTTGATAGCCACAATAAAATATGTAGTCACATCTGGAACGAGTGTGTCGTATGACAGATATTTTACATAGCAAACAGGATAAGGAAAGCAACCATCAAACAGAACAGTCCCATAGCTTCAGACAGGGCAAATCCCAGGATGGCATATGAGAACAGCTGCTGCTTCAGAGATGGGTTCCTGAAACACCCAGAAGAAAATATCTCAATTACAACTCAAGAACACATTCAAGAACATATTTGTGCAGTTCCACAGCGTAAAGACACACCTTGCATATCCGATGATGAGGCTTCCGAACACTGTTCCGATTCCAGCACCAGACCCAGCAACTCCAACGGTGGCAGCTCCAGCACCAATAAACTTGGCAGCAGTGTCAATGTCCCTGCTGACAGCACTGGTCTGGATGCTCCTCAATGAGACCTGGGTGAGGGGGCTCTGTGGCAGCAGAGCTACAGTGTTCTGGAAGATAAAAGGAAGATTTAAAAAAAGGAAGATAAAAAAAAAAACCAAAAACATTTTACCTGCAAGGTAATTCAGAAAACAAGCTGCAGGTTCTTTGAGTTCAGGTTCACAGGTTCTGGGCTCTTTATTCATTTATCAGTATACTTGATATTTGGTTGAAAAACCAAAACATTAAAATGTTTTTGTTTTGTTTTTCAGGTTTGAAACATGTACTGAATTTCCTGCAATTAATAAAACTTGTTTTCCTGATACCTAGACATATTCCAATATCATGTTACTCTCTTTACACTACATGAACATTAAAAAAAAACAACAACAAACAAAAACATTTGTTTAATAAACTATAATTAGGTGTATCCAGAAACTATTTTGTCCTACCTCTGACTTGACCTCAGGCCTGGACAGCACAGAGGCAGACAGGGGTCTGTAAAGAGCCCGGGAAGCAGCACGGACCTGCAGCAACAGAAAATACAAAATAAATAAGAAAAGAGCAAAGCAAGGATTTGTACAGAAAGCAAACTTATGAATGTAGTATGTAGTTGTTATTTATCACAGGCATAATATCAGTTTCCTTCAAAGTCACTTTGACAGTCACTGTGTCATAACCACTAATCACAAATCAGATGTGTATAGGACCTGTGATACATTAGTACTTTGTAGACTGTTGAATGAGACATTAATGTGGAAAAACAACAGTTATTTGACTTGTGTTGCCTCTTTACATCAATGCCTTGCTAGGTAGTGGAATCACAAATATGAAACATGACCTTGGTGGATGATAATGCTACCTCAAAACTGAGCAACAAGGAGAAAATATACAATGCGTTTATTGAAGCATCCGCTGTAGTGAACTGTGTCTAAGCCGCCAGGTGGATTCTTCTGTAAATGTAGCTAACAGAGTCTGATAATGACCTTAGCCGGCGGCCATCATTGAAGATGTCCGCTGATAGCTATCACTCTGGTGGCACAGGGATAGTGTATCTTGGAGACGGCTGACATGCACTGTATTAGTTCACACTTGAAATACAGTACCAGTAAGTTAAATGACAGTAGCCAGTGCTTTAGCGCTAGAGATATGTCACATTACCGGCCTTCAGCTCTGCAGATATCCTTGCTAGTAATCTGCAGTCAAGTTCAACCAGAGGCCCTGCCTGACATTTTAGACAACATAACTCACATTTACAATATGGAAACACGGGGAGGGCAGAGCACTTACCACAGCCGGCGTGGAAACGAACTTTGCACAGGCGTACATTTTTGTATGAGGTCTATAGAACCGGTTTGGTCAAATGTGGTGTTAAAGCCCAGGTCTCTCTGAAAACGGAGCGGAGAAAAGAAGTAAGGTCAAATGGGCGTTTACAGCCTTTACATGAAAAATAAAACCGTCTACATGCACATCTACATCCGTTCTAACAAACGCATCCGTTGTTATACAGCGATATTAAGTGTAAAGAAAGGATGAAAGAAGATTTGTTGCAGAACTCTCCCTCATTCAAACTGCCATTATACTCACCGACTGCAGAGGTCGAACCACAGTGGAAGAGTGAGCATGCGCCGAGTTACGTATGTAGTCACCCGGATGTACGACAATGGAGGAAAGGTCATTTGACTGAAACTTTATTTAAACAGAGTCAATGGTCATTCATGAAAATGAGATTAGAAAGTAGCAATTTTTTCTAGAAACGGAAAATATTTTTCAGAATTATACTTTAAACTAATCCATATATACAGTAAAAAAGATACCCTTTTTTAGATACCCTTATAAAAATACCATAAGGCTAGGCTAGTATGTTATTCGGTGATCAAAAAACAGCAATAAATTATAGTTAGCTAATCATTAGAAGTATGGCAATACAGGAAAAAATATATAAATATAATATATACTGATACTAAACATTAAACAATGACAGTACAATGCCCTTAGTAAAATGTTGACAATGTGAATTGTCAACCCTTGTTTTGGGTAAACTGAGGCATTGCTTAGCTTTACATTACAACATTACCTCTGTTTGGGTAGCCTTAAACTATTTTGTTATAGATTACAATTTCCCCTTATTTGTGTTTCTCTTTTACAGTTTCTTACCAGTTCTTTTTTGGGCAACAAATGGGTAATCTGCATATAAATATATGCACAATACCATTGATCAATACGCTTGCATGTTTAATTTCAGATAGGCATATGAAACTGATTTTGAAATACACTGCTGGTAAAAATAAATAAATATAAAAAAGGTTGCCATACAGGAGGTGCCATTAAGTATACAGTTCCTCTGAGGTTCAAACCGTGGACCTTCTGCGTGTAAGGCAGGCATGTTGAAGTCCATAATTCCTAACAAAATGGGAAGTTCACAGTTTGAGTAACACACACAGGCTGCCACATTAGGCTCAATTAAGTATGCAGTTGCAGCTCAAAGGTTGCCATACAGGAGGTGCCATTAAGTATACAGTTCCTCTGAGGTTCAAACCGTGGACCTTCTGCGTGTAAGGCAGGCATGATAACCACTACAATATGGAACCAGTGGAAACTAAGTAAAACAGGAAAAAAGAGTTAATCGCCATACACCAATTAATACACAACGCCAGGTAAAACATTTCTCCCTTTGGAAGGAGAAGCACGAGTTCTTCAAAGTCCTGTTTAAATGTTAGCTGGAAAAAACAAAGTTCTTGATATTTTGAAAGTGCAGTCTGACACATCTGAAAAAGTACCCAGTGTTCTACAAATATATCAGACTGTCTACATTCTATGGCTGAAGTATTTCAACCTCGGATTTTCTCCCCAAACAAAACCTGTCCGACTTTTTCCACCACTATCACCTGGTATGCTGTGAATTTTAGACTCTGCCCAAAGGGACCGGTGGCCTGGGGCCCTGTCTGTGCATCTCAAAGGCTGATGCTGAAGCTGGAGTCTACCAACACCAGGCAGATTTGTAATCGTGATGAATGACTCCACAGCAGCTGCTCTGTGATGGAAAGGTAATGAGCATAAGGGAGTCTGCCTTTCCTGGCTTCAAAGAAGGAACGTCCCAGTGGTTTCCCAGCTATGATCTTTCCAGTTTTACAGCGAAAGTGAAGCTTCAGATTCCTGACCTTATGAGCCATGAGTAGAAACAGCGAGTAGGTCATGTTGTTGCAGACATGCTGAAACGACACACCTGTCCATTGATAAAGCTCTGAACACCGGTGTGACCTGTATTCTACTATATTCTGTCATCCTGTTTTTATTATGTTAAATAAGTGGAAGGCAGACCATTTTAATCTGTTTACAACATCACTCTGATTCCATTCTGTCTGCTTGATGGTTCTCTGTCTAAGATACATTCAACATCAATTGGTGAAATACCAACCACCCTCACATTTTCTGTCCATGCATGTAGGAGACCATATGGTAGCCGTCACTAGTCATTAAAGAACAAAAGGTTTTACTTTGGCTACTGTGGGCTTGTTTAACAACATGTCGATCCAACATGGCGGCGTTTATGTAGATAAGACCTGCTCCTAATTTGAATAAATCGCAAGGTATTGAGTACAGGAATTCACTCTTTAGGGTTTGTAGTCACCTCTCTTGAATATATCTATTATAAGGTGAAAAGGTGCAATTTCATAAGCGCTAAAAATAAAAATCTAAATCTCTCACCCACAGTAAATAAAAAAAAATCAATAAACTCGGCCGTCTTGAGATTGAAGTCAAGAAGTGTATGCGTAAACTAACAACATTCAATAGCTTTTTAGGTGGAGTGTGATAAATAAATAATTAACAGTTTTGAGGTTGTTTTTTTTGTATCTATATCACTTCAAAATGTTGGAATTTCAAGTCCTTTCCCAAAGTCTTACCTGACGGAGGTTAAATAACTGTTGTGTTGACCGTAAAGGTATAGAAATGTAGAGCTGCGGACAGCGTGTGCTAAACAGACTAAGGAACTGTGAGCTTTGTCGAGGAGAGTCATAGTTGTCTAAGAGCAGTCTGTGATGACTGAACGCCGCACATGAAGCGATCAAGAAAAATGCTATTTCTAAACATGTCCAGCAGAGGGTGCAATAAGGTCTATCCAATGTGACCTTAGCCTTCGTCTGTCAGGATTATTTTACGGTAAAAAAAGAAACAGATGTTAATTTCTGAAAATGTTCGTAGTGCATTGATAATATTTTCTAATAAAATGTTTTTGCATCAAATAATTTAACAGATTTTTGATGATGAAGCATTTTTTTATCTCTCTGATTTTCCTTGTAAGTACAGAGGTATTATAGAAAATATATGAGATGTATGATCTTTAATGTGACACTGCTGCTTCTATGTTTCTGTTGATGTAAGTGTAAAATGTAATGCAGCAGGTCCACACTGGAGCCACTTATAGGTCAGAGCTCAGTGTATGATAAAACATGAGGATTTACAGTATATTAATTGCAAGACAGCACATATCAAAGTGGCCGTTAACCACCTAAGGTCAATGTCAGAGTGTCTAATTAACGGGGCAGCGGCTGTGTGCTCCTACATGGCTGTGGAAGGTGAAGAGAGCAGCCCATCTCTTACACAACCCTCCACCTCTACCCACCTCCAACTTCCTCCCATTCGGAGGCGCACACGCACTCGCTGTCTGAATTCTTGCACAGAACAATCTGAGACATTCCATTTGCATGCCCGCCCCATCAAGCTGGATGCACTCAGACTGGTAATAAAAGGCATTGACCCCCTTAACCTTTATGAATTACAATTTGTGCCTGCAGCACGTCCTGTCAGAGGCCTCAGAAAAGCCGGCACCTCAGCCCGGGTGTGTGCGTGTTGTTTTGCAGTTGTTAAAGAGAGGGGGAAAAGGTTTTTACAGCTCCTCGACGGAGCTCCTGACAAGCAGGGAGGAGGTGGTCTGACAGCAGGAGCAGGGTAGGGAGGGACTGCAGCGCTGCTGATGGCCCCACGCTAATCTCCATCCTCGGATGCTGCAAAAAAAAAAAAACTACACAGGGTTCTTCCTTTGTCAAGACCAAAGATATGGGTCTCATGGCTTCAGTTAATCTGGGTTCCACCTCTGACCACATACACTGACATCTGTACTTCAGCTAAGACTGGTTAGAAGATATATTATAGTGTGTATTTTAATAAAAAATACAGTTGGTGAAACTGATTCTTGGGTTTAATTTTAGAGTGAACAGTTAATCTGATCCTCGTTTTTGTCCTGCATGTTTCTGTGACTGTAGGAGGAAAACCTACACAGTTGCACATGTACTGTAGAAACTGTGACCAACTACAGGTAAGGCAGGTTTCCATAGAAAGGGAATGGCCCCGATTACAGGGCGCAATGCTATTGTGTGGGGGTCGGGGAAGGGGCAGTAGGGCAAATAAATTGGAATTTTAATACAATTCTTTTTTGTTTTTGCCGCAGTGGGAAAAGTATTTTGAATTTGATTGTTCAATGAAGATGTCAGTTTTGTAGGAATTTGATTTTGAAATTAAGTTTGGTAGAGAATTATAGCCTATTATTATATACCTGACACCTTATTGTTATTGCTAATTATGAAGACATTTGGAGACGTCCCAGAGTTTTGTTTCATTCTTTTCTCATGTTTGAAGGCTTCACTGAGAAGTGGTTTTCATCGACAGTGCAGCCTTAAAACAACTGTTTTTTTAATAATCCAGGATCTTTGAAAGCCTTAAAATAGTCCCGCAGAAATTCACAAAGCGCTTCTCATCACTGAAAGATTTAAAAAGACATTAGCATTCACAGAATTGATTTTTTTAACAAATCTATATTAGCACTGATCTTTGTGCAGCTGGTGAGCACAGCAGTCAGAAGTGAGAAATGCTGAGGCTTGCGATATCATCCGACTCCATCCAGATTTTTCAATCTCTATCTGTTATGTGTTTTGGAGCATTTTAGTGAATAAAACTATTTGTACGTTAGAACCACCCCCTGAACAGACGCTCTATAAAAATTAAAACCTGGTGATTTTTTAATTTAAAAGTGTCACAGTCTTCTCATAAACACCAGTGTGAGTCGAGCTTTATTCCTCCTTCTGTTTAACATCAGGAAATGCAGGCAGTGGCTGTGTGAACAGGAGCGTGGCTGACAGGGGCAACCGAGCGATGATTGGTTTACGGATCCGCGCTTTCTCCACTGACTTCAAGGTCACTGAGATTTACAATCAAACGCCTTATGACACTTTAGTAAAAGCCACCCACAGCCAATGACAGG